ACTCTAGGCTAACCAGTCCACAGAGAGTTCAGAATCTCCCAGGGTGGGTGGAAGTTAAGGACACTCCTCTCTCCCCCAGGGCTGGACAGGTCAAGCTGCTGTCTCTGACTGGTCACTGCTATACTGCCACTAGTCAGGGAACCTGGCAGGGCTGTGCCCTCCCTGCTCTGCTTTCCTTCCTCTCCTTGGAGACAGAGGCTGCTACAAACACTCCTTGTTAACCCTTCAGGCAGGCTGGCTGCCTGAAGTGAGCGCTGGAGCCTAGGAAGCAGGGCAGCAAGTCTGGGGCTGACCTCTCTCACCTAGCTAACCTAGTGTGTGTGTGGGGTTTGGGGGGGAGTTGAAGAGAGAGGGAGAAAAGCAGGGGCTATTGTGCTTTCTCAGGATTCAGAGAGCACTGGCGAAGAGGTATTAACACACACACACACACACACACACACACACACACAGAGGCGTTTCAACCTAAATCCCTACATGAGCTGCATACACTACCACACTACCCAGCATGCCTGACTGTAAAATGTCTGCCTCTCTAGGGTGCTGGGAGGAATAAAAGAATAATGTATGTAAAACAGCAGAGCAGCAGAACACTCAGGCACTGATATGGGTAGGCCATAACTCTCAATGATTCTCTGAGCAGCACTGTGTGCCACATCTTCTGCAGAACCTGCCCCATCTCTGCTCTAACCATGTGATCCTTCAGGAACAGATTTGTCAATCAGAGCACCTCACCCCTATGGCCACAGCAGGCTGTTCACTCAGCAAAGATTTCTTGAGCACCTACTCTGTCAGGCCTTATTATGGATCTAAGGATAGAGCAATAAACAGGCCCTTGGACTGTTGGAGGCTACTAATATGTTACTGGGTGGTGAAAGAACAACAGATAAATCTGGCTGGGAATGGTGGTACATGCCTAGAATCTCAGCACTTGAGAGGCTGAGACCAGGAAGATCAAAATTTCAAGGTCAACCTGGGTTCCATAGCAAAGACTCTTGAAAAAAATAAATCCAATTCAACCAAGTGTTGTCCTTCACACCTATCATTCCAGTTTCTAAAGAAGCAGAAATTTAGAAGATCATGGTTAGAGGCCAGCCCAGACAAAACATTCACAAGATCCCATTTCAACCAATGACAGACAGATGTGGTGAAGCATGCCAACCAGATGGGAAGTATAAATAGGAAGATGATGGACCAGACTAGTCTAGGCATAAATGTGAGACTTATCAATAAAAACAACTAAAACAAAAAGGGCTTGGTATATGACTCAAACGATAGAGCACCTGCCTGGCCAAGTGCAAGGCCCCAAGTTCAAAATCCCAGTACCACAACAAACAAACAGCAAGATAAATCTGTGGTAGTAAACCAAATACTGGTTTAAAAAAAAAAAAAAACAGAGTTTAATAACAATTATTTAAAAAAAACTGAAATAGGGGCTGGGAAGGTGGCTCAGTGGTAGAGCGCTTGCCTTGCATGCCTGAGGCCCTGGGTTCCATTCCTCAGCACCACATAAGCAAAAAGAAAAAAGCCGGAAGTGGCGCTGTGGCTCAAGTGGTAGAGCGCTAGCCTTGAGCTGAAGAGCTGAGGGACAGCGCCCAGGCCCAGAGTTCAGGCCCCATGACCGGACCCAAAAAAAACCCCCAAAAACCTGAAATAATAAAGGAGCAAAGGAGAAGTTGTAGGGAGGAGATTACAGAGGTGATCAAGGAAAGCCTTATGAAAAGGTGACATGTGAAATCTACCTAAGAAGTGAGGAAGCACACTGGCATCTAGCTACCTGGGGGGGAGAGTGCTCCAGCAGAGGTAGCAGCTTGTGCAAAAGCTGTGAGATACATTCCAAAAATAGCAATGGGAGGAAAGGCGAGAAACGAAGAAACCACAGGGGTCCCATCCTACAGGACCCTATAGTGACTCCAGAGACTTTGGGTTGGTTTTTGTTGTTGTTTCTTCCGGAGTGAAGTGACAAATGCACTACAGAGTGTTGAGCAGGAGAGAAACATGCTCTAACTCAGGCAGCTGAGTGGAGAGGGCCTGCAGGACCAAGGGTGGAGTTGGACAGTGCTTAAACTATTACTGTCGTGTGAGGAAGAGAGAGTAGATCAGGCCAGGAGGTACTGGTGGAGATGATGACGCAACTCTTAAGGAGTTCACAGGATTGGTTTAAACAGAGTGTCTCCACTTTGGCAATGTTGACGATTTAAGCTAGCCGATTATTTGTTGTATATGTTGGGTGGAGAGGCTGTCTTGGCCACTGTAGCCTGCCAAATATTGGTATTCCTTCCACCCTCACTAGGAGAACAAAAAAAAAGCATCTGATCTTTCCGTTTCCTTCTTAGGGAACCTACTGGTCTAGGAGGTAAGCATGAGACTCAAGCTAAATAGAGCCCTTCTTTTGGTTTTTAAAAATCAGAGCTACAAGGGTAGGATCTTTTCACAATTTTCTTTTTCTAGTCCTGGGGCTTGAACTCAGGGCTGGGGCACTGTCTCTGAGCTGCTTTGTGTTCAAGGTTAGCAATCTACCACTGAGCCACAGTGTCACTTCCAGCTTTTTCTGTTTATATAGTACTGAGGAATCAAACCCAGGGTTTCATGCATGCTAGGCAAGCAGTCTACCACTGAGCCACCTTCCCAGCCCCTCTTTTCACAGTTGTATGGTTAGAATTTCAAGGTTGCAGGCCTGGAGCACACAGAAGAAACTATTCTCCTCCTCTTTCTCATTCTCTTTCTTCTTTTTAGGTTTTGTCTGTCGCGGGGCTTGAAGTCAGGGCCTGGGCACTGTTCCTGAGCTCTTTTGCTCAAGGTGACTGCTCTACCACTTAGAGCCACAGTGCTACTTCTGAGTTTCTGGTGGTTAATTGGAGATAAGAGTTTCATGGACTTCCCTGCTTGGGCTGGCTTTGAACCACGATGCTCAGATTTCAGCCTCCTCAGTAGCTAGATTACAGGTGCATGCTAGTGGTGCCAGCTTAATAATTTTCACTTTTTTATGGATTATTAACTCTTAATTACATGAATTTATGAGTCTTTTTGTGTGCTAGTACGGGGTCTTGAACTATGTTCAAGCTGGGCTCTGTCCCTTAACTTTTGTGCTCATGCCTGGCACTCTACCACTTGAGCTACTTCCAGCTCCATTTCCAACTTTTTGGTGGTTAATTGGTGGTTAAGAGTCTCATGGACTTTCCTGTCCAGGCTTGCTTTGAACCTTGATCTCTTGATCCTTGGTTCTCTGATCTCCGCCTCTTGAGTTGCTGGGATTGTAGGTGTGAGCCACCAGTGCTCTGCTTGGGGAATCTTCTTTATTTAAATGCAATCTTTACTTTTTAAACACTCTGTGTAGGCTAGGGATTATTATTTATTGCTCTTTAACATTATTATTTTCAGTGCTGGGAATGGAATCCAGGGCCTTGCATATACTAGGCAAGTGTTCTACCACTGTGCTGAATCCCAGCCCCAGGAATTTAAACACACATAAAAAATGAAAGAGAACTAGAAAAAGCCTCTAGCCAGCTCTAAAGGAGTTGGGTAAAGATCATTCCTTTTGGAAGATTTAAGGATGGAAAAAAGTGTGAACTGGGCTTTGAATAAGAAATGAGAAATTCTATGCTCACATTTTTACTAGGTCAGAGGAGTTCTTAATTAGCAGGAAGACACAGATGGAGCAGTGACAGAGATTGGGCCTACCCACTCTTTTATTCTTATGCTACTTTGAGTTGGTTTGCTGTCAGTTAACAGCATGAAAGGAATATTTGGAAGACAAAAGTAGAGCAAATAAAATGGAGTCCTTCCTCCTCCCCCTACCACACTTGTATGGAGCCTGTCAGTAACTTGTAAAGGATACATTCTGTGGCCTAGATTCTGAGCCTTAGCGTTCATGTCTTGAAGTGGGCCTTGGGAAAAACAAAAAACCAAAAACCTGACACTCCTATTAGAAAAATAACCAAAGCAGAAATACCTGAGGGCATAGCACAATTGTAGAGTGCTTGCCTGTGAAGCCTTGAGTTCAAACTCCAGTACAACCAACAAATAAATAAAGTTTAATATGAAAAACCCCTCTGCAGTTTTACATTTATTTATTAACATGGTTTTTCTATATAGACCGAGCTGGCCTCAAATTCATAAGCCACCTCTCAGCCTCCCTACTGAAATTACAGGCATGAACCACTATACACAGCTTGATGATGATGATGATGATGATGGTGGTGGTGGTGGTGGTGATGATGAAGATGCTGGTCCTGGGGCTTGAATTCTGGGCACTGGGCTCTGTCCCTGAGCTTCTTTTGCTTAACGCTATCATTCTATCATTTGAACCACAGTGCCACTTCTGGCTTTTTCTCTTTTCTTTCTTTGGGTTTGTTTGTTTGTTTTTGGTGTCTGTCATGGGGCTTGAACTCTGGGCCTGGGTACTGTCTCTTAGCTCTTCAACTCAAGGCTTGCGTTCTATCACTTGAGCCACAGCACCACTTACGGATTTTTCTATTTATCGAACCCAGGGCCTCATGCGTGTGAGGCAAACACTCTACCACTAAGCCACCTTCCCAGCCCCAACTTCTGGCTTTTTCTCGATAGTTTATTAGAGATAAGAGTCTCAGGGACTTTTTGGCTGGGCTGGCTTTGAACTGGGATCCTCAGATCTCAACTTTCTGAGTAGCTAGGATTACAGATGTGAACCACTGGTGCTTGGTCCCAGCTTTATTTTTGATAACTGGCATCACCTACAAGAGTTAGAAAATAATGCTTGGGCTTGCCAATGATGTGAAGCCATCACTTTTGGATGGAGATTGTCCATTCTGAGTTTGCACTTGCTCTCAATGTAGGTTCCTCCCTTCTCTCAGGGCTCTCCTATATGTATGTCTGACACCATCCTCTGCTTGTGTGGGTGCTCTCACAGAAGACCACTAGGAGGCTAGAAGATATACTTTCAACATGCTTTTTGCTAGTGTTGTCTTTCTGAAAGTCTCACAAGCCCTGAAATTGCTCCCAGGAAGAAGAAATGCACATCCTCAATGGCAAAGGGCTGCTGGACAGATGTGGGAGGAGGAGGAGGAGGCTGGACAGACGAGAAGAACAACTGGGCCTCGGATACTTTGTGGTGGTGTCTCGATGGGATGCTCCCTGCAAGTCCTGATCTGGGCTCCTTGGCGCAGCTGTGCCTGCTGAAAGCAGGAGATCTCAGGAGCCACCTGAGGAGACGGCTCCTGGTGCCTTTATCCAGGAAGAGCTCTCAGCTGTAGTGTCCTAACTGTAAAAACAATTGCTGAAAGTCAAAAAACGTAAATGATGTAAGTAGAGCTAGGATTTGAACCCAATCTATGAGGGCTTAAAGCTACCCCCCCCCCATTCCTGCTGTGTGTGTGGTGTGGGGGAGAGTGGAGGTAGAAGAACATGAGTTCTGAGTACTTCAGAGGCTCTGGAAAAGGTAGCAGTTCTGAGTGGAATGCTACAGGAGCTGAAGTTCTAGCCCCGCCTCCAATGTTCCTCTACCCCACCCTCCCAATCCCCAAGAGCCAACAAAGGCCCTAGAGACCCCATCAAGTTCTACAGGCTCCCGGCATCCCCTCACATCCCAGTCCCTGACCAGGAAGTGGACAGGTCCGCTTTGGGAAGTATGGATAGACTTGGTAAGTGGCCGTCTGGGGACTAGGATAAGAGCCTTGTGGCCTAGCTTCCACTAACCTGCCCATCATCATGGCAGTCCCTGAGGAAAATCTGAGCTTTTTCTTAATGACCAATCTGTGTGATTATGAGCCCTCTCTTTTCTCCTTCCTAGTTTTGATGTCCACACCCACATCTCTTTGCCTGCTCAGTTCCCATCTTTATCTTCTCTGGACTTCATAATGCCTCTTCAGTGGTCTACTACTGCTGGACAGAAGAAGAAAGAGACTCCTTTTCCTAATTGGTTCACTCCTAGGGCAGCCTTTTCCCAATTGATTGGATGTAGCAGAGGCCCTTTTCTGCTTAGACTTGCCCAAAGGGAAACTTCACATAATCACACAGAGATACTTGTAGACTGCCCACCAATGATCATGCAGGACTGCCCCACGTTGAGGAAAGAAATCTCCCTTAGAAAACAAAGACAACCAATGAGGACAATCAATGTTTATTAACAGCCTACAGAGATCAGGTTTCCTCCTTGGCAATCTACAGGTTGATTGCTTACCGTCTCCCCCTTCTCTCCCCTCCCCCGCATCCCCAAGCCTGAGGTTGGCCGCGGTACAGACACTGTCTTTCAACAACCCTTGAGGTAGGCATTGCTTTCCATTCTACTGATGACCAACAAGAGCTTGGCAGAAGCCAGGAGACTTGCCAGGATTCCTTAGCTAGGAAGTACAAGAACCTGGGAAAAGTCAGATTCATTCCCCCCCCCCTCCCTCCCCCAAAGTCCCATCAGGTTCCTGCGGCAATCAGAGCTCCCAGGTCCTCCACTGGGGGACAGCAGGCCCGCACTGACCGCTTCCCGCCCCGCAGGTGTGAAGACCCCCTTATGGAAGAAGGAACCGGACACCCGGGCCAGGAAGGCGGAGCGCGAGGAAGACCTGGAGGGTTCGGGGGAGGAAGAGGAGGAGGAGGAAGAGGAGGAGGAGGAGGAGGAGGAGGAGCAGAGGCCTAGCGCGCAGGGTGCCTCGCAGGACGAAGCGGGGGCGCGCGGGTCGGGGACGCGCGGGTCCGGGGCGCGCGAGGCGGGGGCGCGCGAGGCCCGCGAGCGCAGCTCGGTGTCCTACTGCCCGCTGCGCCAGGAGCCCAGCACCCAGCAGGCGGCGCTGCAGCGGCGCACGGACCTCGGCTTCTGGAGCTGGCTCAGCCCCTTGGCGCTGCTCGCTAGCCTGGCGGCCCCCGCCGACAGGTGAGACGCGTCCTTCCATCGCCTCCCGCTCCTCCGAGGGAGGGGCGCCCGGGCACTGAGCACTCGGGGGCCCCGCCAGCAGGAAGCGGAGCCCCCCGGAGGAGCCATGCGTGCTGGAGACGCGGCGGGGGCGGCCGCGCCACGGGGGCTGCGCGCGCTGCGAGATCCTGTTTTGCAAGAAATGCCAGTGTCTGCACTGCCATCCGGCCTATATAGCTCACTGTGTCCTGGAGCACCGCGATCTGGGTAAGGTGGAGACCCCCCCCCACCCCCGGCTAGGGGAGGTCTCAGTACCCCCACTTCGACCTTTGTGCCCTCTATGCTTGCCTGCCACCAGTCTCCCCAAACTTCTTTCCCCACTCCCCCTGACATGGAGCACTTTCCAGCATCGCCAAGACACTTGCCACCACCACTCCCCCTCGGGGAGCCCAGCATTACGTAGAATCCCACTTCTTCCTCCGAGGACTCTCAAGTCCCTTCCGCTCACCTGATCCGTGTCCCCAACACAAGCGCACCTGAATCTCTTCCAGGTCCTCCGGGCAGAAGACAGGTTCCCTTCCTCTGAGAAACTCTTCTCCTTCCACCCCGCCCCTTCTCTCACTCAATAAAGCCTTGAATCAAAGTGTCAGTGCATTGGGGTGAGTAATGAACATGGTACCCTCTCGTGGGTTCAAGCCAGAGAAATGAAAGAGCCTGCAGGAAGCTTCCTCTGGACAAGGCATCTCAAAGTACTTTCATCCAAGGGCAGTCAAAGGCCATCCTTTGAGAAGAAAAGAAGGCATAAGGCCAGCATCGCCCCTGGGGAGCTGAGGGCTGCACCCCTGCCAGACCATTCTCCCCTCCCTGGAAGCCTGGCTTGCTGAGGTCACTTGTGTGTGTTCAAATGAGGCCTGGTGGGTGGGGTGGGGTGGGGAGGGTTGAAGACCCAGATGCTAAAATAAACGGGGAGACTAACTGCAGCAGAAGAGGCTGGGGAACTGGTTCCTTCTCTAGGAATCCCAGCTATTTCTGGCCAGACAGCAGCAGGTTTGGGAATGCTCTGTGTGTGGCCTGGAGAATGAGGGCTTAGGAAGCAGGAGGCCTCCCCCAACCTGCAAAGCCTGGAGGAAGCAGTATCCCCTAGGCCTATAGCAGGGCAGACTTCAGGTCTTTTCTGATCCTGGGGTTCTCCATCTGACCTGGGAGTGGGGAATGCAGAAGGGGTGAGGATAGTGTGTGTGTGAGTGTGTGAGTGTGGCACCCACTCACCCAAGAACTGAGGCCCTAAGGAAGCAGGACAGTCTTGTAAAAATACTCCTCACCCCTCTGATAAGTTTTCCATCCTCGCTCGCTGGATCCCAGCGGTATTGCCTCCTTGAAGGAACTCTCCCTTTCAATAGAAAAAACACAATTCCCAAGGCTGAGGGAGGAAAGAGACCTCTGGGAAAAAGGGACCCTTTTTGGCTTCTGAGACACCAGGCTCTCCAGAGGACTTCCTGGCTGCCTGCTGAGAGGCCGTGGCTTTCTCCATAGGCTCTGCCCCTAGGACAGGGAAAAAAAGTTGGTCCAGAAGGCACCAGTGGTTCATTCAGTGGTGAAGTGCCATCAGAACAGGGCACCTTCCGAGTTGGCATTCCAGCAGCCCATCCAAGGCAGCTCTGTGGCCCAGCGACCTGAGGTGGTCACTTGCAGTTTAGCTTGGTCAAGGAGCCAATAGCTGTCATCTCTGAAGAAGACGATGGAACCATCAGGCCTGGGCAAGGCCCCGCTGACCTCCTCAGGGACTCCACTCCAGTCCCGCAAGCTGCGAGGATAGTAGGGCTTCACTTGCAGCCCACCTTGGGTCAGCACATAGTAGCGGGCACCTTTGAAGAGGACGAGGCGTCGCAGAGGAGGGAAAAAGAGAGCTGCATCTGGGTGGCGGGGCAGGCCCCCTCTTCGGCACAGTTGTGAAGACTTCCACACTGGCTGGGACCCCTGGAACCTCCAGCATCGACTCCCTGTCCAGCATCAGGAGAGCCAGGGTGAGCTGAGGCTCTCACCCATTGGTCCTCTACTTCTGCACAAGCACTGGGGACAAAGAGGACTACAGTAGGAATTAGTTCTGAACAGTAGGGAAGAGATTGTCATGGTCTAGACACCCAGTAGGTGTCAGCAGAGGACAAAGCATGGGGAAAAAAAACTTAACTTGCCCCAGGCTGCACAGATGAGGAGCTTGGTGGTGGGAAGAGGGGAAGGTACCCTCCCTGGAGTGAGGAATGAGGAGCCAGGAAGGCTTGGAAGTTTCTTCACTACCATTACCACTAATACGCATATGAGGGCAGAGATTTTAGTTTACTGTTAGATCCCTAATACTCTCAACTATGCCTAGTACAACATAACACTGGCTGAATGAAGAGATGCTATTTTCTAAAGCATTGCCAATATTCTGCAGACAAGTCATTATCATTTATCCTTTTTTTTTTTTTTTTTTTGGTGCCAATCCTAGGGCTTGAGCTTTGGGGCCTGGGCATGGTCTTTGAGCTTCTTTTGCTCAAGGCTAGTACTCTACCATTTGAGCCACAACACCACTTTCAGCTTTTTCTGAGTAGTTTATTGGAGATAAATGTCTCATGGACTTTCCTGCCCAGGCTGGCTTTGAACTGTAATCCTCAGTTCTCAGCCTTCTGAGTAGCTAGGATTACAGGCGTGAGCCACAGGCACCCAGCTTTTTATCCTTTTTCCCAATAAACCTGAGGTATCCTCACTTTTCAAGAAATGCAAGCTCCAAAAGTTAGACATCCTCATTCTCACACAGCCCTGCAGAATTTCCTGAAAGACTACTCTTTCTGCTGAATAGCAGAGCTCAAGAGCGTGTCTGATTTCCCTCCAGACTCAGAATGCTCCTGGGAAAAAGCTGAACACCTACTCCATTACCTAAGGGAATCCATTCCCTTGGTCACAGGTTCTCCGGGTGAGAAAAGTCTCCACCCAGGCCTCACTGTCTGGGACTCCCCTCTTTCAGTCTTGAGCAGGACACCTCCCCTCTATGCCTCATTTTTCTCAGCTTCCCCAGGTGGCTAATACCTTTGAAGAAGTAGAAGTCCCCATCCTCCAGTGACACGGCAGCAGCATCAATATTGGGGGGCAGCCCAGTCCACCTTTCCTGTAGTGGGCGGGGCTCTGAGACATTGCCATCAATGGCTACCTCCCAGAAGTGGCTCCCTTTGAAGATGTACAGTCGCTGTTGCCCATCTGCCCAGAGATAAGAGAGAGGTGAGAAAGGACCAACAGCCTTCTACCATCTTTTCAGGAAGGAAAGGTTTCTAGGTCCCCCAGCAAAGGGTGGGACATGCACAGGTACAGGGAGGGAAGTGGTCAGGAGAAGAGCAGTGCTTTGCTTCTGAGAGCCTTGGATTTCTTTCTTTCTTTTTTTTTTTTTTGGGTCCGGTCATGGGGCCTGAACTCTGAGTCTGGGCGCTGTCCCTCAGCTCTTCAGCTCAAGGCTAGCGCTCTACCACTTGAGCCACAGCGCCACTTCTGGCTTTTTTCTTTTTGCTTATGTGGTGCTGAGGAATCGAACCCAGGGCCTCATGCATGCAAGGCAAGTGCTCTACCACTGAGCCACCTTCCCAGCCCGAGCCTTGGATTTCTAGGTGATAGGACCTATCGCTGGTCTTGTACTCCAGCCCTGGGGAGCCCTGGAGTTGTGGGAGAGGAGGCAAGCAAGAAGCCAGGTTCATGTGGGACCATCTTACCTATTGTGATGGCATCGAAGGAATAGTGGCAATATTTAGGACCTCGTGTTTCAGGGCGCCTGCCCTGGGAGTTGTGTGGGTTCCAGGCCTCAAAGTCAGTGAACAGTTTTCCAGGGAGCTGCATGGCCACTGAGCGCCCCAGGGGCTTCCCTTTATAAGCAAAGAGAGAAGAGGGAGGGGAACTTGAAATGGAGGTAAACTGAATGCCCAAGAGTTCCCCCTCCCTGACTCCTGCCATGATGATTTGTGTGAGGGGTTGGAAAGGCGGGGGAAAGAGGGCAGGCAAGAGCTGTTCTGGTTGTTGATGCCATCCATAGATCATTAAACCCAACTGCTTGGGAAAGAGGGATTTACTGAAATATAATCCAAGTAAAGATTTGGAGCTAAGGGTTGGGGGAAGCGGGAAGGGGGATCTTTCCAGAGTTCTGGACACATAAGTCGCTCCAGAGTAGGGTTCAGGTCTCCAGCCTGCTAACTACTGTTGTAACCACAATCATTACAACACCGTGCTTCATTCCTGAAGGGCTTCCAACAAGCTGACAATTGGGCACCAGCTCCTGAATCCTGCCTGGTTTACAATTTCCAAGTTGTGATCTTGGCCAAGTCACCTAACACTCACTGAGCCCCTTTCTCCTCATCTGTGAACAAAGATACTTGGGGCCCGCTGTGTGCATAAGCGCCTGGCCTGTGATAGATACTCAGGAAATCAGAGCGGTTCTTCCCGTTACTCTGTGTGAATTTCCCAGTCTTGGCATTCCCTAGTACAATCGCAGTGTGGGATAAGCAGGGTCCCAATGAACAATCTCTCTCCACAGATGGTAAAACTGCTCTGGGAGAGCAGCCTCAGGCTTGAGTGACCTGGGCCTCTCAGGATGATGTTGAGAGACAGCTTGGCAGAGAGCAAGCTGGGGTTGAGGGCAGGGAGGAGGGTTTTGGCATCTAGGATGAGAGACAGGTGGACTGGATTGGGTCTCCAGGATAGGGCAGAGACCCAATGTGAGAGGCAGAGTAAGGGGCTGGGCAAGAATTCAGAACTGGAAGGCAAGGGATGGTGGTGGTGGGACAGAGGAACTGGTGTGCAGGGACTGATTGAGAGATGGGGGCTGGGGGAGGTCTCATCCTGGGGAGAGCAGGAGCCTGAAGATCTCAGATCTAGGGCTTCAGGATTGGTGTCACCATGGAGACCGGGCGATGGATGTGCTCAGGATGGGGAATCCCATCCTGGGGATAGGGGTGCAGGGTGCAGGAGTGCGGGGAGGGGGGGGGCTCACCATACAGATTTTGCACTGCCAGCACGTCGTCCCAGCTGAGCAGCGCGTCGCGGCCCAGCCTCTTGTAGTAGGGCGCCATGAGGGCGCGGGGGGCGGGCGAGTGGGTGAGGCCCAGCGTGTGGCCGATCTCGTGTGCCAACACCACGAACAAGTTGCGCCCCCGGCGGCGGCTCAAGGACCAGCGCTCGTCTAGGTCGAAGTGCGCTTCCCCGCGGCGGGGCAGGAAGGCGTGCGCCAGAGCGCCCCCTGCAGGTGGCGCGGAGAGTCAGACCGAGCCACGCCCGCCACTCTCCACCCCCCCCCCCCCCGCCCCCCCTCCTGTGCCTGGAGGCCAGGGTGGCTGCTTTCTGCCAGTCTAATTCCCCTTCTAGTTAAGTCGGGTAAAGCCTGTGTGCAGATGGGAGCAGACGACTAAGCTGTGGGGTATGGAGTCATCTAAGAGGCAGCAAGGGGAAAGACGCTGGACGTGAGGCCAGACCCTTGGGTTCCTCCAGTCTTCGTTACAGCATCTATCTAGGAGTCCTGTGAACTTGGACAGGTAGCTTAACCTCCTGGTTAAGAAGATGCAGGTGTGTGTGCTGGGCGAGCCACACTTGATGCTTGCACGCATTACTTTCAAGATGATCTTGGTATAGGAATAGTGGCTGCTCCTAGAAGGAGGAAGCTAAGGTATTCTGTTCTGTTTCCTGGTCTGGGTGCTGGGTGTTTGGTATGTAAAGAGTCATCCTAAACTTAGGATAGGATGCACTTTGATGTGTATAGTCATTCTCTCCCTTCCTCTTTCCCTCCCTTCCTCTTCCATCCCTCCCTCCCTCTCTCTCAGACAGGGTTTTGTTATGTAGCTCAGCCTCGCCTGGAACTCATAATCCTCCTGCTTCTTCCTCCTGAGTACTAGGATCACAAGTGTGTACCACCAAGCCCAGCTCATATATGCATTTTTTTTGGTCATTTGCTTTGTGCTGGTCCTGGGGCTTGAATTTGGGGCCTGGGCACTGTCTCTCAGCTTTTTTTGCTGAAGGCTAGTGATCACCACTCGAGCCACCGCTGACTTTTGGGTGGGTAATTAGGGATAAGAGTCTCCTGAGCTTTTCTGTCCAGGCTAACTTCAAACCATGATCCTCATATCTTGACCTTCTGAGGAGTTAGGATGATAGGCATAAGCCACCAGTGCTCACCAGTACTAGGATTTGAACATGGAACCTCACACTTGCTAGCCAGTTCTACCATTTGAATCACACACACCCAAATCATGCATATAATTTAGAAATATACATATCCTTGCAGTCCTACGCTTCCTCTGCTGGGGCTATTCTGGGGGCTTCCATCTCCTTGCTCATCATAGGAGTGAGCATAATGAGTGGGGCTGGTCATTCTCATTTCCAAGGGGACATAGAGCATATTATGTATGCTGTTTCCAGGGTCCCTCTGTTCACTAGTCACTTTCCCCATGAGTATGTGACCCTGATGCAGAGGTCAGAAAACTGCACTGCTAATGTCCTAGAAGCTAGCCAACAGTCCTTCCAGTTTTCCTGAAGCCCAGCCAAGCTGTGATTGATAGAGGTCAGGGGCCTGTAGAAGGAGAGCAGATTATATTGCAGACAGAAGCCTTTAGACTGACTGGGGACAAATGGAACTAGCTGTGGGTCTATGAAACACTGTGGCTATCAGGGTAGGGGTAGGATAATGGTAGTTATGAATTTATTTATTTATTTAGGGGTGGGTGTATGTGTGTGCCAATACTAGGGTTTGAACTCAAGGCCTGGGGCACTGTCCCTTAGCTTTTTTATTTTCCCCTCGAGCTAGTTCTCTACCACTTGAATCACAGCTCTACTTTAAGCTTTTTGATGACTAGTTAGAAAGCAGAGTCTCAGGAACTTTTCTGCTCAGGCTGGCTTCAATCTGTGATCCCCAAATCTTAGCCTCCTGAGTAGCTAGGATTACAATTGTGAGCTACTAGCAACTGGCCAGCCACTAGATTTTTTTTTTCCGTCGGTCGTGGGGCTTGAACTCTGGGCCAGGACGCTGTCCCTGCACTCTTCAGCTCAAGGTGAGTGCTCTACCACTTGAGCTACAGCGCCACTTCCAATTTTCTATTGGTTTATTGTAGATAAGAGTCTCATGGACTTCCTGCCGGGGCAGGAACCTCAATCCTCAGATCTCAGCCTCCTGAGTAGCTAGGATTACAGGCGTGAGCCACCGGCGCCTGGCCTCTAGATTTTTTTTGGGGGGGGGGTCTGGTCATGGGGCCTGAACTCTGGGCCTGGGCGCTGTCCCTCAGCTCATCAACTCAAGGCTAGTGCTCTACCACTTGAGCCACAGCGCCACTTCCGGCTTTTTTCTTTTTGCTTATGTGGTGTTGAGAAATCGAACCCAGGGTCTCAGGCATGCAAGGCAAGCACTCTACCACTTAGCCAACTTCCCAGCCCCTCTAGATGTTTTTTTAAGGCATCTCTCTGGAGAATAAGAGAAGCAGAGGCCTGCTAGAAGCAAGGAATAGGTAAAAGGACCTCAAAATATCCTCCCAGAATAAGTCATACTCATTGGAGTTTGCAAAACACTTTCCAAACAGAGGCTCATCTGACAACCCTTCAAACAGGTGGCACATTATGGGGCAGGGAGCACTGTTAGCATTTTACAGAGGAGGAGACTGAGGAGGAGGTACAACTTAGCCATAACATGGGGAGAGTATAGAATCCATTGTCATCCCCCCATCCACCCACACACTGCCTCTCCTAGTCAGGTTCTACTCCTGCTGTATGAACAGCAGCTTTGTGTCAGCACCTGGACCATCGAAGGCGTTGCTCAGCCCATCGTTGTGGTCCCCTTGGAAGAAGGTGAGGCGGATGTCAGCAGGGCCAGTGGCCGGGGCCTCCCAGAACTCCAGTCCTGAGACGTTGCTCCATAACTGGAAGGCAGCATGCACGGCCCCTCGAACGGCTGACTCCGGCAGGTGCTCAGGCCAGTTCACCAGGTGGTAGGAGAGGTGCTGCTTGTACCATTTGTGACCTGTCACCCAGAAAGGCCACATCAGCCAAACGTGCTGCTGAGCTTGGGGTTGGTCCCCATCGACTCAGTATGATGAAGAGTAGGCCTGGCTCCAGGGAGCCTCTGACTTGATGGGGAAGACACAGCCTTTACCCTGGGCAGCTTCCATCTGACCCAGTAATAGGCCAGTGCCCAGGGAAGCACTCATACCAGGAGGACTACCCTTGCCCTGCAAAGTCCCCAGCCTAGTGGTTTAGCCTGGGGAGGATCCAGCCTGAGGGAGAGATGTCGCCTCCACCCAGGAGAAGCCCCTCACCCTAAAGAAGGGTCTGAATCCCTACACTTGGCATGAACTGAGCCAGAAAAAGCCTCTTCCTGGCTTCTAGCTGCTGCCTCTGAGTGGGGGAACAGCGGGGGACCAGTACATGAGATCATGGCTATGATGGTCCCAGCAGATCCTTCCACCCCCTCACAGACTCCTGCCACCTCTGAGAGTCTCTATCTTGCCCTTTCCAGGGCCTGGGGACTTGAGATTGGCCAACAATGACCTATTTGCCTGAGGTCCCTTCCTGACTCCTGACCCCTCCCTCCCTAGCCTTCCTCCGGAGAGCTCTGAGGTGAAGATAAATAACAACAACGTTGCATGTGTTGTCACCATCCAACCACAACTTTTCCATCTTTTTAAAATTTTCTTTATCCTTTACCCTAAACCTCAGTTCTTCTCTGGTAGCTGGCACTCTGGCTTCTGTACCAGCCCTAGGTGGCAAAACTGGGCCTATTTAGTTGGCCACATACGCAGGAACAGGGTAGTTTAGAAAGTCTGGCTGCAAGTTTCTCATGGCCTACTTTTGTGACCCCAAGTAGAGGGCTCATAGCTCAGAGGCAGGACTTGTGGGCTCAGGGGAGGTGGTGGGGGAGGAACGGGGACTTAGGGACTTGGGGGCGGGGGAGAAGGGTCTTGTCCAGAGCCACAGAAGGAGTGAATTGCTGAGCTGAGCCCTGACCTCCCAGTCCAGTGCTCCTTCCATTACACCACAGAGATAAGCAGACCCTTTGCTGGAACGCCAGGCTTATAAATCTGCTAGAACATCACTTGCAGCTCTGTACTGGCTGAGATTCTCCAGATGGAAGCGAGGTCTAAGGGAAAACAGGAGCCGGGCTCATTTGCTCCTCTCCAGGGAGAGAGGAGGGGGGTGGGTAGTCCTTTCTCCCACTCTTCAGCCAAACTCCATTCAAGGCAATGCTGAGCTTGTTTGGCCTGGCACTCACCCAGCCTCTGCCTCTCAGCCAGTGAGCAACCCTCAGGGAGGGAGAGGGAAGGATTTTGAGGAGAGAGGGGGAGACAGGGAAGGGGGAAGCAAAGGCCTGGGCTTCAGTGATTCATTTTGTTGAAAGAATACTCTTGCCAGTCACTGTGAGACTTGGATAGGCACAGAGCAGCCTAGGGTGGGCTCCTCCACACCGGGCTGTGGAGGAGTTGATTCCAGACTCCACCCTGGACCCAACCCTTTCATCTTCCAGCCAAGTGGAAGGGGCTCCTTCTGCCCTCCTGCAGTTCAGGGCAGGAATTCTTCCATTTTTAGGGAAGGTGAAAGGTCTGAGGATAAAAGTCATCGGTGAAACTCACATGTGTTATACGTGGTGTGTATATGTGTATAGGTGGTATGTATGTGTGGTGTATGTGTGTGGTGTGTGGTGGTTTGAGGAAGGAGAGAAGGACAGGGAGGGTGAACAGGCACAGAAATTGAGAGAAAATGACTGCTTTTCTTGGGAGGAGATGGGGTTGGGGTTCACTGGTGTGCCTGCCAGGAAGGAAGTGCCCCAGTGGGTGGGGGAAGCCTGAGCCTTTTCCCCTGCCCTCCCATGTCCGCCCCTGGACACACACACACACACACACACACACACCTCTCTTGGAGAAGGCTGGCTGCTTCAGGCTCCAATCTTAAATTCCTGACTGGGCAGGGCTGTTTTTCATGGAGGCAGATCCCCGGCACTAGTTGCCTATGGCCTTGAGCCCCACACCCTTGATTTAAAGTCCACAGGGAAGAAGAAAGGAACTGGGGAAGGGAGGAAAGCTGGGGATCTCTGCATGAGAAGGCCTTGGAGTCTTAACTCCCAGCAAGCAGCTGGTGCAATAGGAAGAACATGAGTTGGAATCCTGCTTCCTCCACTTACATCAATGGTAGAATCTCTCCAGGCCTCAGTCTCCCTATCTGCAAAGTGGGGTTGTATGGCTTACATCATGGTAAGGTGTGAAGCTCCACTGGGATAGCAACATGAAGCTGCCTGGCATGTGCTGGCTGCTCTCCCCCCATACCCAACCAGTTCTGTGAAGGAACAGAGGGCACTAAAATCAGACCTGGAGGCAGAGAGAGAAATGAGGTTCCAGATTATCAAAGAAGGATACAGGATGAGCCAGGTGCTGGTGGCTCAGGCCCGTAATCCTAGGTACTCAGGAGGCTGAGATCTGTGGGTTACAGTTCAAAGCCAGCCTGGGCAGGAAAGTTCATGAGACTCTTGTCTCCAGAAGTGGTGATGTGACTCAAAGTGGTAGAGCACTAGCCGAGAGCAGAAAAGCTCAGGGATGGTGCCCAGGCCTAGAGGAGGAGGAGGAGGAGAAGGAGGAGGAGGAGGAAGAGGAGGGGGAGGAAGAGGAGGGAGAGGAGGAGGGGGAGGAGGAGAAGAGGAGGAGAGGGAGGGGGAGGAGGGGGAGGAGGGGGAGGAGGGGGAGGAGGAGGAGGGGGAGGAGGAGGAGGAGGGGGTGGGGGAGAGAATGCTTCTTTTTAAAGAAGCATCCTTGAACTCAGGGGATGCCCAAGTGGGGCATCAAGACACTCTGAGATGACCCCTAGTTTTTACTCATTCTCACCAGCTTTTGAACTTGGTACTCAGGGATGGCTCTTCTCTGCAACCGAAGAAGACTGGCATCCAGTACAAGGGAGAATGGGGAAAAGAACCCCTGGGAGCTGTGACATGGCCAGGGTCATACAACTGAGACTTGAACCAGGGCTTCTGGCTCCAGGGATGATGGTATCTCTGTTCTATCAAAAATCCTGATTTCGGGCTGGGATGTAGCTCAGTGGCAAAGCGCTTGCCTATCAAGTGCAACATCCTGGGTTCGATCCCCAGTACCAAAAAAGAAAAGACAAAAAAATACAGTTAAAAAAAATCCTGATTTCACACCTCTTCTCTCCTACCTTTCTCACTCCCCAGAAACAGGCCCAGAGATGCAGAACATGCAGACACGAGGGACATTTGGACCTCCTTGCTGACACTTTGCTCTGGCAGGAATGGGTTCAATCTGTATAGGTTACCTATGGCAGCTGGATGTAGAAACAGCTGCCCTCCAGCTGTGGATAGTTCCCTTAAGGATGAGCTAAGACATGAACACAAACAGTGCCTGTGTTCCCATTCATAATAAATACTGCCAATAAGTGTAGTTAGCACAATTAAGAGCCACAAAGGCCCAAAGTACTCACAATAAAATTAATTATAGATGGGAACTGACTGAAATAAAAGCCCTCATCTTGTTAGAAATCTTGAAAATTGGAAAAATGGATTGAAATCAAAGCAATGATGATACTAAAATTACACAAAGTAAAAAGTCATTTCAAAAAAAAATGACAGAAGAATCAAAACTTCACAAATCCTAGATCTGTACCATTTGGCCCCAGAATATTTGGCTTAAAAAATAAGAGTAGATGAATTGGGAATGTGGCATAGTGGTAGAGAGCTTGCCCAGCATACATGAAGCCCTGAGTTTGATTCTTCAGTACCACATAAGTAGAAAAAGGCAGAAGGGGTGCTGGGAAGGTGGCTCAGTGGTAGAGCGCTTGCCTTGCATGCATGAGGCCCCAGGTTCGATTCCTCAGCACCACATAAGCAAAAAGAAAAAAGCTGGAAGTGGTGCTGTGGCTCAAGTGGTAGAGCGTTAGCCTTGAGCTGAAGAGCTAAGGGACAGCGCCCAGGCCCAGAGTTCAGGCCCCACGACTGGACCAAAAAGAAAAAAGAAAAAGCCAGAAGGGGTTCAGTGGCTCAAGTGGTAGGGTGCTAGCCTTGAGCAAAAAGAAGCTCAGGAACAGTGCCCAGGCCAAAGACTGGCAAGGAAAAAACAAAAAAAGGAGAAGGAAAAGGAGGGGTAGAGGGAGGGGGAGGAGGATGGCAGTGGTAGAGTGTTCTAGGGTTTCATCCCTAGAACGACATTAAATATGTATAGACAGAAACAGAGACAGAAACAGAAGAAGGAAAGAAGGAAGGAAGAAAGGAAAGAAAGGAAAAGAAAAGGGAAACAAGGGAGGGAAGGAGGGAAGGATGGAGGGAGAAAGGGGGGAATGAAGGGAAGGAGGGAGGGGAAGGAGAGAGGAAGGAATGAAGGAAGGAAAAGGCAGAGAAGACTGGATGCTAGTGGTTTATGCCTGTGATGTTAGCTACTCAGGAGGCTGAGATCTGAGGATTTCAGTTCAAAGCCAGCCCCAGGAAGAAAAGTCTACAAGACTGTCATCTCCAAAAAGCTGGAAATGGAAGTATGACTCAAGTGGTAGAATGCCAGCTCTGAGTTAAAAACCAAGGGAGATTGTGAGACTCTGAGTTCAAGCCTGAGTTCAAGCACACACGACAGGGGAGAAGGGAGGGAAGAAAAGGAACAAAAGAGAAAAAAAACAAGACTACAAAGAAAAAATTCACAGCAGACACTGTAATGTGTAAAGTACAGTTCAATGAAATGTCCAGAAGAGGCAAATCCTCAGATACAGAAAGCAGTTGATAAGGGTTGGTGGAAGGGGCAGGAGGGAGCAGCTACTAGGGGTATGCATTTCTTTGTAGGGTAAAGAAAATGTTCTGCAACTAGGAATTACTTGTGGTTATGGTTGCACAATTCTGGCACTATACTAAAAAAATAAATAAATCACTGACTTGGTCACTTTAAATGGGTAAATTGCATGATAAGTAAACTGCATCTCAATAATGCTGTTAAAGAAATGTGCTCCGAAGAAAATAAAACTGATTGATGTATCATAACTTTGTTGAATAATTACTCTGAAAAAGAGTTGATTCTGATGGAAGTAATTTCAGTAAATAGAAATGAAAAACATTGGCAACAGTTTAACTGCCCTGCATTTAAAAAAAAAAAATCAAGGAATTAAATGGATTTGATGGGACTTGATTTGGAAAATACTTATACAAAGAGAATTCACCAATGCAAGTCAATTGAGGTTTAAATCTCTGTATTCAGCATAAATTATGCTTCTTGAGTCAACAGGTCCTATTTGACACCCTTTCTTTGCACTAGGGAAAGGTCTCTGGTTGAAGGTGGGGCTTCAGTGTATTGGGGATCCCAACCTAGAATTCAACAGCACTCACCTTGCTTGGCAAAGCGTTTCTTGCGCCTCATTTTGGCCCGGGGTCCAGCAAACAGGGCACTGATCCTCTCCCTCCAAGCTGCATGACTGCCAGTGTCTGCCACCCCGCAGCGGGAACGTGTCATCTGGCGCAGCGTGGGCCCATCTAGCACACCACTGACAGGGAGCTGCGACACCCACTGGAACTCTCTGCCAGGAGGAATTGAAATAAAGGATCACAGAGGCAGGGGGTGAGTGGCAGTGTGAGAACTGCTTTCCAGGGGGCATGGCCAGCCAGCCTTCCAGGAAGAGAGAAAAGTAAGAACTATGTAACCTGCACCCCCCCCCAAGTCCGCCACATTCCTCTATCCTACCTGAGCGCATTGCTGAATCGAGTGGAGGCTGAAGCTCTGGGAACATTCTCATTGAGGTAGCCGTATTTCTCCAGGAAGGCCTGGGGGAAAGTGGAACATCAGCCCTTCCCACCATACAGCATCCTGTCCCTTCCCCTGGCGTGCGATGGGCCAAGGCACATATATCCTGCTCATGCTCCTCTTGTCCCAAGATGGCCTGTAAACTATAGCTGAAAGAATTCCAAGTCCAAAGGCCATCATTGACTCGTTGGATGGTCTCAGGAAAACTGTTCACTCAATTACTTCTGAAGGTCTGGCTTGCTTATCTTGAGGCATTATTAGATATCTAGTGTGCATGCCGAACAGTTATGGGTTCTGGACTCAGGTTGGCCTACAGCTGAACTCCAGCTTGCATCTTCCTTCTAAACCACAAATTTCTCCACCATAAAATGGACTTCATTAAGTACTCACTCCACTTTTTTTTTTTTTGGTGAGGACTAACCATAATAGCACTAATAAAGCACTTAACATAGACCAATCACACAGGTGGAATCCCATAGAGAGCAGCTATTAGATGTGTGATATAAATACACACCACATCATATTTGCTCTGAAATAATCTGACCCCTGTAGACAATGCTCAGGTACTGATCAGGTGATGTCAATCTTCCACATCTGGAATCATTTCTCAAATTCTAGTTCCCGAACTCTTTCTGCCCAGCCCCCCATGCAAACACATTCAAGGCCCTATGACCATAAATGCACATATCCCCAACCTTATCAAAAATATAAAAAGTTGACTTTGTAGAAATGTGGGTTCTTTTTCGTTGGTCATGAGGCTTGAACTCAGGGCCTAAGTGCTGTCTCTGAGTGTTTATGCTCAAGGTTAGCACTCTACCACTTTGAGCCACCGCGCCACTTCCAGTTTCCTGGTAGTTAATTGGAGATAAGAGTCTCATGGACTTAGTTGCTCAGGCTGGCTTCAAACCATGATCCTCAGATCTCAGCTTCCTGAATATCTAGGATTACAGGTGTGAGCCATTGGTGCCTGGTAGAAACATGTATTTTGAATTAAAAACCTAAACCTTCCTTCTTCTATTTACTTAAAGAGTGCATGCATGAATAGCTAGAGACAAAAATACATGTATCATGTAAACAGAAAAAACAAAAACAAAAACAGCACTCTGAAGAAGCTGGATGATGGGTCTGAGAAATCAGGAGGTCTAAGTGGGACACTTCTGCCCAGGATCAAATATTAGACCTGTATCCTAAAGAACAACATGCATCCAGCCATGTAGTGAGATGGGGAAGGGCATTGCTGACAGAGGAAACAACACATGTGCAAGTCCTTAGGCTGACCTGATTAAGGAACAGAAGGAGGGCCCTGGTAGCTCCATGGCTCAGGTCTGTAATCCTAGCCACTGAGGGGGCTGAGATCTGTGGATCAGAGCTCAAAGCCCACTGGGACAGGAAAGCCCATGAGACTCTTATCTCCAATTAACCAGAAAGAAGCAGGAAGTGAGGATGCAGCTCAAGTGGTAGAGTACCAGCCTTGAGTATCCAAGAACTGGTTTCAAGCCCCAGGAATGCAAAGAAGCAGAGTGAAGAGAAGTCAGAGAGGCAGACCCATAGGCTATGGTAGGAAGTGTAGGTTAATTTCAGTATTGCTGATGGATTAATTGTAGAGAATGCAAGAAAGAAGAATTCCAGGTGGCTCAGAAGTGTACTGTCTGAGGGGAGTGTACACCTGAGGGGAGACCAGGTGCAGCAGCCTGGGGTATCACCTGGTGATGTTGAAGTGATACTGACTTGTGAGATGAGAGCTCAAAGCAGCTCCATCTTTCAACACGGAGATAATGTAAATTCCCATCCAAGGAAATCAGTGTAATACAGAAAACCTCTCATGGTCTTAGGGTCTTGCACTGCTCTCCAAATGAACAAGTTCTTCGAGAGAAAAGTGGTTCAGTATTGTCACGAACCACTTCCTGTGGGGAGCTCATGCACTTGGATCCCTGCCTGCCTGTCTCACTGAGAAAGCCCCATATATGTCACCTTGGATAAAGGAAAAAAGATACCTCTACTGCTTAATTCTAATGCAGACGAGAATTGGCTTTTGATTTTTATCCCTCCTTGTGTTATCTATACAGAAACAATTTTCTATCTTCCTTTAAACTTTTCCTCCTTTTCCCTCCCTCCCTGTTTTCTTTCGTGATCAACCATCACTTGATTATGGTTAGCCCAGGCTACCACAAACTTGCTTTGTAGGATCCTCCTTTGTGGTTGTTGGTCACGAGGCTTGAACTCAGGGTCTAGACACTGTCCCTGAGCTCTTTGTTCAAGGCTAGCACTCTACCACTTTGAGCCACAGCTCTACTTCTGTTTTTTTTAGTGGTTAATTGGAGCTAAGAGTCTCACAGGGACTTTTCTGCCTGGGCTAGCTTTGAATCCTAATCCTCAGATCATAGCCTCCAGAGTTGCTAGGATTACAGGTATGAGCCACTGGTTCCTGACTAGGATCCTCCTTTAATGCTGGGATTACATGCATACAACACCAAGTTTGGCTTCTTTGCTCTGTGTCTTAAAGTAATTCCAATCAAAATTGCTGCCTCAAGGAAAACACATGACTGGGAATGAAACTAGACACTGAGTGGACTGGCAAGTCCCTAAATCATTGCACATGTCTAGCCTCCTCTTTATGGATTTCATTTACACCCAACTTCCACAGAAGGCCACTTTCTTTTTTTTTTTGGTCCGGTTGTGGGGCCTGAACTCTGGGCCTGGGCGCTGTCCCTCAGCTCTTCAGCTCAAGGCTAGCACTCTACCGCTTGAGCCACAGCGCCACTTCCGGTTTTTTCCTTTTTTGCATATATGGTGCTGAGGAATCGAACCCAGGGCCTCATGCATGCAAGGCAAGCACTCTACCACTGAACCACCTTCCCAGCCCCAGAAGGCCACTTTCATCTAGCCATTTTCCCTAAGGAGTTTCATTCTAGACAACAGTACAATTTCCAAGTCTGTGTTGTTTAGTCTGTGTTGTTTTTCTGTATTGGTTTATTAGCATGTCAGCAGTGTTGTTTTTCTTCTTCCTTTTTGTAAATGTGCATTGCTTTCAGATGTGTAACGGATAAAAGGGGATCCTGTGGCTTCATCAGAAAAATAACTTAATGTTCAAAAGAATGTGACCACATGGAATAGCCACAGGGCTGGAGATTGAGGATCTATTCCCAATCCTGAGTCTGCTAGGTGGCTGGGGACAAATGAATTAACTGCTCTGTGCCTCCGTTTCTTTATCTCAGCGTGAGAGTGAGACACACTTCACAGGACTCTCAAAGGATGAAATAAAGTAATGCACATCTAACATAGTGCCTGGCACAGAGAAAGTGTTCAATAAATATGTGAGCTCATTCTTCACCTTGGAGGGAAAATGAACTACACACTTTTGGAATGCAGTCCAACAGCAACATGGGTAGTTTTTGTTTTTGTTTTTGTTTTTGTTTTTTGTTTTTTGGTGCTGGTTCTGGGGCTTGAACTTAAGACCTGGGTGTTGTTCCTGAGTTTTTTCTTTTCCCTCCTCTCTCTCTACCACTTAAGCCATAGCTCCACTTCCAGCTTTTTGGTGGCTAATTGGAGATGAGTCTCATAGACTTTCATGCCTAAACTGGCTTTGAGCTGCAATCTTCAGATCTCAGCATCTTGAGTAGCCTGGATTACAGGAATGAGTAGGAAGTGTTTTTGAATAAAGCAGGGACAACTCAACAGAGTTGAGAACACTCAATTCAGGTGATCACCTGGTACCTGCCCTCCTCAGCCAGGTGCCTGTTTCCTTCCTAGCCTCTTCAGTTTCTCAGGAGAGAATGAACAGTGGGCTTTCTAGGCAATGAATATCTAGGGAATGAATATCTCCTTTGAATGCAGTTCTGCTGGGCAAGTGACTTGGAAGGCACCAGGTTATGGGTCAAAACCTGGCTGGCATTGCCCTGATATTCTCCCCACAACCCCACCCAGCCCTTATCAGAGAGTTGGCTGGGGTACTGGAACTGTGCAGCCTCGGGGGCATTGAGGGCAGGAGGGTGGGGGAAAGTGGAAATTGGCGGCGTCTCCGGTTTCCTGGCTGGGCTGCAGCAGCCTCAGTTCTCTGGCAGACAAGGTGGGGTGGAGGCTGTTTTTTAAGGGCCATCAATGGGGCAGTGCTGAGCTCTGGGACCCTGTAGTGGCCTGGCAGGGTCGAATTCCCAGTGAGCAGAATGAGCACCTTCCTGGAGCAACCACTACACAGAGGCATGGAAAGAATGAAAAAAGGCATTTGAAATACAGGACATAAAAGCATTTTAGTCTTTTGATCAGGATTTATGGACTCTTCAGCTTAGGCTTAATATGGATATATTAAAAAAAATGACAGTCTGCAGGAGGGGACCTTTGCTACCGTCAATGTAGAGCATTTCCTTTTGTGAGAAGGCCCCAACTTTTGACAGTAAGCCCATTTTCTGTGCCCCAGTTTCCCCTTGCAAAGGTAAAAGGAACACCCCACACGTGGGAGAAAAAGGAGGGGTGCAGAGAACAGGTAGAAGGTAGCCTCGTGGTGGAGAAAGCACAGAAGACATGGAAGTGGGAGACAGCCCTCATCCTAACTCTATCATCCCCCCCACCTGCTGGGTCATTTCTTCCTTTTCTCCCGGAGGAAGGGGGTGAGTGGGGCAGGGGAGGACTTTTCCTGGTGTCTTAGGAACTCCGAGTTCGCCTAGGTCATCTTTTCCCTCCTTCACAGGGGCAGTGAGTGGAATGTTCATGTAGAAGTTTGTGTCTTCCCTGGTCTTCCCTGGTCTTCCCTGGTCTCTATCTGCCCTCTTTTCAGCAAAGCCCAAGGACTATAGAAGCTACAGGGCTGTGGCTCTTAGGTGACTCACTTTGCCCTGGTCAAAAAGCTTGCACCAACATGCTCATTCACTTGGGTATGGACGGAGCCACTTTCCTGGGGAGTCACCTCTGAAAGTCCCTGGGAGTGGCTGTGGTATCTAGGCAAATTGAAAACAGTTCTACAAGACCAGCTAGCTGATGGGACTGCCACTCTGGGGGTTCTAGTCCTACCTCTGTGCTGACTTGT